TAATCGAGATCAGGTACAAAATAAGCGTGGTCGTCAACGAATTTTGCGGTTTATCTATCAAGCGGTTACGATATGCGGTTCACAGCGGAAAAGCGATAAAAGCTGCACGCCGAATGTGGGCTTTTCCTTTATAGGTTTTCAGGACGGAACCCACTCTTACGTAAAGCGCCAATGATCTCGAGTATTTTGAATATTGCGCGGGGTGACCTGAGCGCATCACTCGTGATTGGCCGCTGTAAAATTAGACTAAACGCGTGTTCTAAGAAGGCATGCGTAAGCGGGCGATCGCGGTAATTATTGGTTAATCGAGGCGTCCGTAAGAATTCGCGCATGCTCGCTGTAACCGGACTATTCGGCGGAACGGTTACAGTACCGTTAGTTGTTGTTAGTTGATAGGTTTTTTTTTGTGACAGATTGATTTATTACATGGTTTTTTTCCTTGAAATACATATAAACTATGTCTCTATTTGTTATGATTTTCAATCGACCCGTCTAGAATATTCGATTAGGCGTTTCAACATCCCGCCCGCCTTGTCGCGCAGTGACAATATACCGACGAGTTTCGGCCGTGGAATCACAAGTCGATCGTGATCGATGGTGGGGCGCGCGCGCGCTGGCGCGGTGGCAAGCACGTGGTGATCGCGTGACTCGAACAGCTGAGTCGATGGGAACACGTGGTGATCGTATTGTGCGGATCGATCAGCTGAGGCAGAAAAATGCGGGTTTGACGTGGAATGGCGGGTGTGTAATGCAGTGCGGTGAGGGACTGGTGAATGTTTACGGGCTGACGGCCGGCACGTCCGCGCTGTTTATGCTCGGAAGGGGATCCGCGCGCGGCAGCAAGACGAGCTTGACGAGCGGGCGCACAAGCTCAGAAGTGGCGGTGCGGATTGTCACCACGCGGACGATACCGTCGTTCCCGGGATGCAACCTCGTGATCCGGGCGAGAGGCCATCGGGTCGGGGGGGTGAGCTCCGAACGCAGGATGCAAAGATCACCGACGTGGGGTGCGGCCTCGGCCTTGAGCCACTTAGTGCGTGGATTGAGTCCGTGGATATATTCCTTCGACCACCTCCCCCAGAAGTGCTCTCTCATTTGCTGGAGGTGTTGCCATCGCGATCTCGTGTCTCCATGTTCGCCTCCCTGCGGTGGCTCAGGGATGGCGAGAAGGGGCGCCCCGATCAGGAAATGTCCAGGAGTTAGTGCTGAAACATCGTCTGGATCGTCCGAGAGTGCCTGCAATGGTCGAGAATTGAGGCATGCCTCGATTTGAGTGAGGAGGGTACTCAGTTCTTCGAAAGTGAGGGTGGTTTCGCCTATCACCCTCCGCAGATGGTACTTAGCTGACTTGACTGCAGCCTCCCATAATCCACCGAAATGCGGAGCCGCCGGCGGATTGAAGTGCCAGCGGATGCCTTCCTTGGCGGCTGCGCGTGCGATTCCTTCACCCTCCGAAGACGCTGCAATAAAGAGTTCCCGTAGGGTGCGGTCGGCTCCGACGAAGGTCGTGCCGCAGTCGCTGAAGATGTCGGCACAGAGACCTCGTCGAGAGACAAATCGACGAAGGGCGGCGATAAAAGCTTCCGACGAGTAGTCCGATACGAGCTCTAGATGGATGGCCTTCGACCAGAAGCAGATGAAGAGTGCAATGTAGCCCTTGTAGGCGCGGTGGCCGCGACCTTTGCTGGTCCGAATGAGGATTGGTCCCGCGTAGTCCAGTCCAGTGCGGAGGAATGGTCGCGTTGGCGTGACCCTGCTGCGTGGCAGACTGCCCATGGGTGGTTGTGGTGTCGTCGCTCGCCACCTTGTGCACGTGACACAGCGATGAAGCCGCTGTTTTACCGCTGCACGTCCTCGGGGTATCCAGAAACGCTGTCGAAGCAAGCCTAGGGTCAACTGCACCCCTCCGTGCAAGGTCCGGCGGTGATGAGCATCGATCAACAGTCGAGTCAGCCATGAAGTTGTTGGCGCAATCATCGGATGTCTCTCGTCCTGTGACAAGAGCGAATTTTTTAAGCGTCCTCCTACTCTCAACACGCCACGTGTATCGGCGAATGGAGCTAGTTTGGCCAACGGACTGCGTGTTGCGACAGTGCGGCCTGCAGAAACAGCGGTGACCTCGTCAGGGAAGTGGAGTGCTTGTACCTCTCGTAGCCAGTGTGATAGAGCTCCGTCTAATTCGTCTGCGGTGGGTGGCTGTCCAGGGTGACAGTTGGTGCAACAGTGCGAAGCCAGCGACGACACCATACTGTGACTCGTAGCAGGTGGTTCAACGACGAAAAGCGGAGGAGGAGCTCAGGTTCCATGACGACCAAGCTCCTCGTCATCAGGCTGCCGGCTCGTCTCTCGATAAGGTTGTCTTCTCGGGTGTCCACTTCGGTGAGCGGCCATGCCGCCTCTTCCTCCAGCAACCAGGTAGGTCCTGTCCACCATAACGTATGATTTACCAATTCCAACGGACTAATGCCCCTCGATGCACAATCCGCAGGGTTGTCTCGACCAGCCACATGTCTCCAGAGTGCGTTCGGCAGTAGGGTCTGGATGTGAGACACCCGGTTGGCAACGAAGGTCTTCCATCGCGAGGCGTGTCCCTGGATCCACTGGAGCGTGACCTTCGAGTCCGTCCACAGATGCGTGGGTGCATCTCCCAAGTTGAGCGTGCGTTGCACATGCTGAGTCAGTGTGGTGAGTAAGGCGGCGGCGCAGAGCTCGAGTCTCGGCAAGGTCACTTGCCTGACAGGTGCCACCTTGCTCTTGGCCATTAGTAGTGTCACTGACGTTTCATTTTTTCCAGCGATGCGGAGGTACACGGCGGCAGCATACCCGCGCTCGGACGCGTCGGCGAAGCCATGTAGCTGCAGCGATGAGTCCACATCGCCCGTGCCGAGCCAGCGAGGCATCCTCAGGCGGTCGAGGAGATGGAGGCCACCCAGCAGTTGCTGCCAACGATGAGCGTCGGCTGGCGGCAGTTGAGCATCCCAATCTAACCCCTGAAGCCACGTAGTTTGGATGAGGATCTTCGCGCGGATGACGACAGGAGCGAGCCAACCCAATGGATCGAAGAGCCGTGCGGTTTCAGAGAGAACCCGTCTCTTCGTATATTTCTCTACGGACGGTGGAAGCAGTGTGAAGGAGAACTCATCATCTTGAGGATGCCATCGAAGTCCTAGCGTTGAGTGACTCTCTCCTTCCCATGCACGCTGGGACTGCTGCATACGATGATCCTGAGGAACGCCAGTTAGGATCTCTTCGTGGTTGGCTGCCCATTTTCGTAACGGGAACCCGCCCGCCTTGCAGAGGTTGCGTAGCTCCTCCTGAAGCACGATTGCTTCGTCGAGCGTGGTTGCTCCGGTGACTACGTCGTCGACATAACAATCCCGTCGCAAGGCCACCGAGCCGCGAGGAAAATGTTCTTCCTCGTCCTTGGCCAGTTGCTGAAGAGTCCGTATGGCGAGGAATGGAGCGCAACTGAGGCCGTAGGTGACCGTCCTCAGTTGGTATTCATGCACTTCATCGTCAGGAGAGTGCCGCCACAGGATCGTCTGGAAACTGCAGTCGTCTGGATGCACGAGAATCTGCCGGTACATTTTTTCTATGTCGGCGACGAAGACGTAGCGGTGTTGACGCCATCGGAGCAGCACGTCGGCTAGCGGCGGAAGGAGGTTTGCGCCGGTGTGGAGGTGCGTGTTCAGCGATTCCCCGGCTCGTGTTCGCTGCGATCCGTTGAACACGACTCTCAACTTGGTGGTGGTGCTGGATTCCTTGAAGACCCCATGATGCGGTAAGTAACACTTGCCCTGCCGGTCAGTCGACGCCGTGGCTAACTTCGTCATGTGTTGTAGGTCCTCGTACTCGCGCAGGAAGCTCCGGTAGAGATCACCAAAGCGAGGGTCCTGGATGCAGCGTCTCTCCATGGCCATCAGAAGACGTTCCGCTGGCTTGCGAGTCTCCTCCAGTTTTGTCGGTGGTGAGGAGAACGGCAACCTCACCATGTATCTCCCAGAGGCAGTGCGAGTGTGACTGCGCACAAAGAGCTCCTCGCTCCCTTGTTCGTCGGGGGTGAGAGACGTGACAGCGGTGGGCTCCTGTTCCTGTTCCCAGAATCGACGCACCAGGTCAGCGAGGTCGTAATCAGCAGTGATACGGAGCGTGCGTCGGTGATCCGCGGTTGCTGCTGCATCAGATCCCCCGGAGAGAATCCAACCCAGGATAGTTTTCTGGGCGATCGGCATTTCTGGACCGCCCTTGCGTACGCCCTCCTCAATTATGAAGGAGCAGACCTCCGCTCCTAGGAGCAGTTCAGCCGGGTCGTCGTCCTGGAAGTTGGGGTCGGCCAGCTGAAGTCCCTGGATATGAGGCCAGCGTTTATCCGTCTTTGAGGTGGGGCCCTGTGTCATCACGAGGCGCGGCAGGATATAAGCCACCACGGAGAGCTCGGCGTTGGTCACGTCTGACGTTACCTTCAACGTGATCTTGCCGCGGATTGGTCCTGGGCGGGTTCCTCCGACCCCGGAGATGGATAGTCCCGTGTGCGCTCGAGGTAGTCGCAAGCGTTGCGCCACTGTCTCGGAGACAATGGATAGCTCGGAACCCTGATCGAGCAAAGCTCGCACTGAGTGCGGAAATCCATGCCTGTCAGCGATGTGGACGCGCGCAGTTGCTAAGAGGACGGCCTTTCGATCCTCGTTCTGATGTGTAGCGGCTAGTGTCGTGGCAAGTGTGGAAACTGATGCGGTGGCAGGAGTGTTGATCTCCGACGATGAAGACGTGGTGGATGCCCCGTGCAACATCGTGTGGTGACGTGCGTTGCAAGTGAGGCAGGCCTTCTTCGATTGGCACCGTGAGATAAAGTGGTTCCCCAGGCAGTTGTAGCAGAGCTTGTGCGTTTCCACGAAGGCTCTGCGTTCCGCTGAGGACTTGGCCTTGAAGTCTCGGCAGGCCATGAGGGCGTGTTTCTCGCGACACAGTGCACATTGTGGGGTTATCGGTCCGTGCTTAGTGACGTGGGATCTCGCGCTTCGGGTTGTATCTCCTGAAACTTTGGTGACTCCCTTTGGTCGTGCGGCGTTGAGCGTCAGAATTCTGCGGCCGATGAAGTCGAGAAGTGTCTCGTGTGATGGTGGTTCAGTGGATCCCGATGTGGATGATTCCCATTCGAGACGGGTGGTTGAGTCAAAGAGTTCAGTGACCAAGTAATTGAAGAGGTCCATCCCGTGCGTGTCGATCGGGCGACCGATGCTCTCCTGCGCGTTGACGACGGTGGTGACGACGTTGTGGATGCGGCTCAGCTCGTCGGCGGTATCTCCCTTCATCTTGGACACATTGACGAATGCGGCAAAATTGGAGCGGATGAGTTCTCTTTTATTCTCGTAGTGTTTGCTCAAGATCGCCCAAGCGCGATCGTAATTATCGCCGATGACAGGTAACGATCTGATTAATTTTTCAGCTTCTCCGGTCACACTTGAGCGCAGGTGATGAAGACGCTCAATTTTTGAGATTGACCCATTGTTCCCGACAATGGAAAGGAAAAGATCCCTGAAGGATGGCCAATCTGCGTAGGTGCCAGAGAACTGTGGTACCTTGATGCGTGGCAGCGAAGATCGTGATGCGACGTCGGTGGCTGGACGCATGGGCGTCGATGCGAATCCCTCGGCGTAGTCATCCAATGTGCTCCGCTGCGTTACGTACAGGTTCTCGGTATCTTCGTGTAACCCTGATTTGAAGTAATCGCTGTCACTGAACCTTTCTTTCAGCGCAGCGCGGATGAGGTCGTGCTGAGCCTCAAATTTCGTCCAAAGCTGGTCGAGGATTCGGGTGCGTGTACTGACGGCACTGGAGGTAATGTTGGCGTTGCCCAGCTTCCTCAAATATTCCACTGAGCGTGAGATGCGGACGTGGATCTCCCGTTGGCAGTCGATCAACGTGCCCACCTCCATGTTGATGCACGCACTCTCACTAGCCGCACGAAGAATCGCGTTCACGAACTTGCGGTTGCCGGTGCGTGTGATCCGGCTCGAAGGACCAAAAATTATGTTCACGAACGCGCTGCGTGAGAGGAGGTCGCGCTGCACTAAGGCTAAGTCACTCTCTTTTGTATAAAGAATTTAATGCTTAAACACACGTAAATACAGAACACTCAGACAAGACTTATAACAACTGTTAATAATTTCACAGGAAAAGAACGTAATCGAGATCAGAGTACAAAATAAGCGGTGGTCGTCAACGAATTTTGCGGTTTATCTATCAAGCGGTTACGATATGCGGTTCACAGCGGAAAAGCGATAAAAAGCTGCACGCCGAATGTGGGCTTTTCCTTTATAGGTTTTCAGGACGGAACCCACTCTTACGTAAAGCGCCAATGATCTCGAGTATTTTGAATATTGCGCGGGGTGACCTGAGCGCATCACTCGTGATTGGCCGCTGTAAAATTAGACTAAACGCGTGTTCTAAGAAGGCATGCGTAAGCGGGCGATCGCGGTAATTATTGGTTAATCGAGGCGTCCGTAAGAATTCGCGCATGCTCGCTGTAACCGGACTATTCGGCGGAACGGTTACAGTACCGTTAGTTGTTGTTAGTTGATAGGTTTTTTTGTGACAGATTGATTTATTACATGGTTTTTTTCCTTGAAATACATATAAACTATGTCTCTATTTGTTATGATTTTCAATCGACCCGTCTAGAATATTCGATTAGGCGTTTCAAACACGTACATAAATTACGTTTATAAATTACGTAGAACTGATATGTATGTACAATATACGTAATATACGTAATATACAATAATATAATATGTACTTATGTATTTTTCAATAATATATTCATATTTTAACTATAATTATCATACAATATTACTTTTTTAGGAAGCCCTTACCTGTCTATTTTTTAATTTTATTATTTTAACTGGAAATCTTATTTGTATGCAAACGCAACTTTCTTTGTGCACTATCTGTATATCTCCTTAATAGTACGCTGTTCATTTTGAATAGTAAGATATCCAATATTGAGCACACATACAGTGGAGACAACGTACAGTTGATGCACACGGAAAGTTGAAATCGTTTATATAGGTGATGTGAATACTTGTGACAATTTGCAGGTGAAGAGTGTATATGTTACCGGCCAAACCCTGATTTTAGGATAAACTAATTTTTCCTGTTTAGCCTAAGAAAAACTAATTTGTATATAAGAATGATATTTAGATAGGAGTGCACGGGGGGACGGGGCTTTGTAAAACGCCATCGCTCTGTGCATTCTCACATAAAAAAAACAACTTGAAAGCGAGGAAACTATCAAGGTTAATAGTACTGCATAGAAGTTGAACTGGTTAATTTTAACGCATTTTGTATAGACTAGTTCAGCCTAGGAAAAATTAGTTTATTCTGAAATCGGGTTTCGTCGGTAACATACATGGAAAGTCTTCCGCGTTTCTTCGATAATGTGTCTATTGACGTTTTCATAGAATCTAGATTGTCCTATTAGTCTTGATACAATGTGGATGATGGATGTGCCTTCATACAGACCGCATAATGTCTTTTATTGAATTTGACAAGATTGTCCCATTGTGATAAAAAAGCGGACATTTACGTCCTATGGGCATTTCATGAGACAATCCTATTACGATCGCGGGATAACTTGTATGATGTCTCATAAACGTATTTTGGATGTACATTCTTCTCGATACCTATTATAGAAATCTTGGGACATCGTAAGGACCCTTTTAAGACGTCTGCAAGATTATCCCATTGCGGTAAATAAAGCGTACATTTACGGCCCTATGGGCGTCCCATAAGACAATCCTATTACGATCGCGGGATAACTTATATGATGTCCCATAGACGTATTTTGGATGTATATTTTAATATCCTCTTGATATCTTATGAAAATTTTGGGATATTGTGAGGACCCTTTTAAGACGTCTGCAAGATTATCCCATTGCGGTAAATAAAGCGTACATTTATGGCCCTATGGGCGTCCCATAAGACAATCCTATTACGATCGCGGGATAACTTATATGATGTTCCATAGACGTATTTTGGATGTATATTTTAATATCCTCTCGATATCTTATGAAAATTTTGGGATATCGTGAGGACCCTTTTAAGACGTCTGCAAGATTATCCCATTGCGGTAAATAAGGCGGACATTTACGGTCTCATAGACGTCCCATGAGACAATCCCATTACGATCGCGGGATAACTTGTATGATGTGCCATAGACGTATTTTGGATGTATATTTGTTGTCTGGGTAATTCTAAAATTAATAATCTTGTTCCATTACACAAACCTTCGCTGATATTCAGATTTCTAATGAACATGATAATTGTATATTTTCTTAATCGGAGTTTATAAGGTGGAAGATTTGTTGGATTTAAAGTATTTAAATATTCTGTTAAAATAGCTTCATTAATATCATTATTATCATCAGTAGTTTCAGTAGTATCTATACTTGTGCATACTCTTTTTATTGATTCATCAAGTAAATTTACAACTTGTTTGTTTAATTCATCCACATCAACATTTCTTGCAGAAAGTATAGCACGTTTTGCTGCAAGTCTATACTGATTGTGTTTGATTATTTCTTCGTATGTATCTTTTGTTATATTTGCATTTAAATTTGCTACACATCTTAATGGAATTTCAATATTATTAGACTGATCATTTAGAGAACCATTACCCAAATCTAATAAAAATTGAGCAAATTCCTGTTTATGTGGTAAAATACGCATATTTTCTGTTAATGAAAAAATTTTGAAATGTTGCCATAATGAACTAAATTTAATTGATAAATTTACAGTTTTAGAACGTGTGGCATTTTCTTTTACTGGCAATAATTGTCTGAAATCTCCACCAAAAATAACAATTTTTCCTCCAAATGGTATATTATTATGCATTAAATCTTGTAAGAAACAATTCATTACTTCAAGAGCATATCGCGGTGCCATTGGTGCTTCATCCCAAATAAAAACATCTGTTTTTTTTAAATAATCAGTTTCTTTGGATTGAACTTTTATATTCGATGTTGAATTATTAAAAAGAGATATGGGCAAACCTAAAGTTTTATGTGCTGTTCTTCCATTTGGTAGTAATGTTGCAGCGATACCAGTGAAAGCCATTGTATTAACAACTTTGCCTTGAGATTTGAGTAAATAGTATAATGTTGTGTGAATAAAAGTTTTACCTGAACCTTCTGGACAGTCAATGTATAAGCATTTTTTTTTGTTAATTGTTAGTTTTTGCCAAAAGAGTTAAAACATAATCAACAACATTTTTTTGACCATAATTTAATTGGCTATACTGTTGCTGACCACATAAAGCTTCTCTTTGCAATTGTTCTGCATCTTCTTCTTCATATTTTATCTTTATTTATTCCATTTCTGGAAATTGCTTAAGTTTCCAACCTTCTTTGCAAAGTAATTGATTGATTTGAGCATAAGCTTTTTTTATTCCAGTGACTCGTCCAAATCGTCATATGTAATCTTCGGACATTGCAACTTGAAATTCATCCCATAACTCTTTTGGATGCAATGGTTGGCAATGCATTAGTATTTGAATAAAAAGATACCTAAGTTGTCTTGGCATCATCCATATAGAAGCTTCGCTAATTGCACGTTTCCATTCATCATCATCTTCAATTAAACCCAAAGCCAAACATGCAGATTACTTCAAATGTTTGATGTAATACACCATTAACTGTTTTTAAAGCATTATAACTTGTTGCTCCGTTAATATTTAATAAAAGAATATGTAAATGGAATAATTCGATTTCAGTTGGACTAACTGAGTACATTCGTCTAATACAATTAAATTTACTCTGACGTTTTTCCCAACGGCTAATTTGTTTTCCATCAAGAATTACTTCCTTGAACACGTAATATAAAGGTATATCTGTATATACATATTGGTGTGCATCAACATCTCGTTTATTTAATTCAAAATAATCCATTAACATTGTTATACGTTCTAAAACAGATTGTAAATCTTGTTCATTTAAATGATTAGAGATAATTACATTTTGTTCACTTGGCAAATGTACAGGTAAATGAATGATGGCATGACTTTTTTCTTGCAATATTTTATTTACAATACGCCAATAAGCTTCAACTGGTCTTACATAACGTGCTTCAATAAAATCTTTAATTTTATCATGAACAATTTCCATATTATTCACATCTTTTTCTATAACTACAGATGCTGTATCGTGACCTTTGTAAATATATTTATATAAATACTTTACTGACTTGATACTTGAAACAACTTCAACATTAATATGACAATTAAAAATTGTTGATAATATTGGACAGTAAGGAACAACAAATCGATTATCTACTACAAATTCTCCAGGTTTCTCATACAAAATGCTAGTGTCTCTTCGATGGTATTGTAGATAACCATTTTCATCCATAGTTGTTTCCTCGTGAAAAGATTTTGGAAAATGCTTTGAACATTTTCCATTTACCATACACCAATCACCACATGGTCCATGAATCATATTTTTTATGACAATTTCATGCAAATTTTGATCAATAGCAGGATCCGGAATTTCAGCAGAAATATACTTATCAACGGTTTCCGAATTAATAATTTTGCATTGTTGTTTTAAAGTTACTAATATATGCACATGCGGCAAACCACGTTTCTGAAATTCGATTACATAAACAAATGCTTTTACTTCACCAAAAAATTTTTGTCGAACAATCAAATCTATCAAATAATTTTTTTTTTTATATCAAATACTCTAGCACAAATATCAGGTCTATCAGCAGGTTGTTAATTTGAAAGTAAATTTTCTTTAATTTTGAGCCAATTTGGATTACGAATCATTGTAATAAAAATATCTGGTTTACCATATTTACGAACAATAGCCATCGCATCTTGATAATTTTGCATCATATTTCGAGGTGAACCAATAAATGTTGATGGAAGTATCATTACTCG